TGAAGATTAAATGAGCTAAAAAAGGTAAAGGGCTTATGACAATACTTCGCAGGGGTGTGTGTGTGTGCGGGCGTGCTTAGTCGCTCAGTCATGCCCGACTCTTTTCAACCCCATGGACCCACCAGGCTCCTCTGTCCATGGGGGTTCTCCAGGCAAGAACACTGGAGGGGGTTGCCATTTCCTCCTTCAGGGGATCTACCTGACCCAGGGATTGAACCTACGTCTCTTGCACTGGCAGACAGATTCTTTACCACTGCACCACTGGGGAAGCCCACTTGGCAGGGGAGGTACCAGTAAAACTAGGTAAATAAGTTATGCAAATGAGTTCTCATGCCTTGGGATAAAATTTCAGCAACAGAATTATACACAGATTAAAAAAAACATGTTTAGCCTCAAATACTTTAGCTGGAAGTAAAGACAATGTTTTCTGGAAAACTAGGTTAGGTGACTCAGAAGTGTCTCTAACAATGACAAAGACATTTCCAAAGTGCTTGGGGAGAGTTTGAATAAAGCAGCTTTCTTAAAAGCATGTGGACAAAAGCATTAATTCTAAGTTAACATATGACTTAAAGCATGTGATTTTAAAAATGTATCTGTAACCAAATTAATAAATATAAGAAACCACGAAACTATTCTGTGTCCCCCAGTATTTTATATATTTAGTATACATATTTTTACACAATGCACATACATACATAAAAAGTTTTCTTTGGATCTTATAGTGGGAAAGGGGGGGCTGCTGTTTCCCAGTACCCTCAGTCCAACAGGTTGACAGGGAAGAAATGAATCTCTAGCAAATGACTGTGTGATGTGCTCTGGATAGAGGCCAAGCAGCGGAAGAAGTGTGGGGTCCATGGGACGGATGAGCCTGGTGTGGGGCTTGGAAGAGTTTCTTTGAGGATGGCAGCTCTGTGTGAGACCTGAGGGTTGGTGTTATGGGTCTCCTCCAAATGATATGTTGAAGTCCCAACTTCTAGAATCTCAGAATTTAACCTGATGTGGAAATGGTGTCTTTCCAGAGGTAATCAAGGTAAAGTAAAAGTGTTACTCGCTCAGTTGTGTCCGACTTTTTGTGACTCCATGAACTGTGTTGCCTGCCAGCTCCTCTGTCCATGGGATTCTTCAGGTATGAATACTGGAGTGGGTTGCCATTCCCTTTTCTAGGAGATCTTTCTGATTCAGGGATCAAACCCAGGTCTCCTGCATTGAACGCAGATTCTCTACCATCTGAGCCACCAGGGAAGCCCAATCAAGATAAAATGAGGCAATTAAGATCGATCCTGATCTAATGTCTGCTGTCCTTATAAAAACAGGAGATGTGGACACAGAGACACACATCCAGATGTATCTACATGCCAAGAAACCCCACAGATTGCCGGCGAATCAACCAGGAGCCAGGAGAGAGGCGTGGTACAGACACTTCTCTCAGCTCGCGGAGAGAACCAACCCTGCCACCACCTTGGCTCCTACCTCCAGCCTCCCGAGCTCCGAGGAAAGGCACTTGTGCTGTTGAGCCCCCCGGTCTTCAGTGCTTTGTAATGGCAGCCCGAGCAAACTCCAGGTGGGCAGGACGGAGCCAGATGGGGCAGGGGGGACCCAGGCAGAAGGAACAGCACACATGCTGGGGAGGCCAGGGCGGCCTGCTCTCATGGAGGAACAGAGTGAGGTCAGCAGGGCTGGACCCTCTGGCCACCCTGAAAAGTGAGGGCCTTACCGTGTGTTAGGGGGTTACAGTGAGGATGGAGTGTGATGTGAGGCTCAGAAGTTCCACTCACTGATGGGAGTACCCACACAGTGTCAGGTGACACGTGTCTTGTGACCAAGACTGTCACCTGCTTTCCTGTGCAGGAACGGGCTGTGGAACGGAAACCGGGGATGGAATGACGGCAGCGGGGACGGAAGGCTGGGGAGACCAGAATGGGGAGGGGGCCAGACCAAGCTCCGAAATCCCACCTCGGCCATAAGACGTGGAGGAAGAGCATCCTGGGAACTGGTGACAGCCACTGCAAAGGCCCTGAGGTCGGCCTGCTCTTGGTGGGACTCACGACCGAGGAGCCAGGAGAGGCCGGGTGGGTGGAGTGGAGCAAGCCTGGGGGAGCATGGGAGATGAAGGCAGAGGGGTGATGGGCATGTTGTGCGGGGTCCAGGTGAGAGTCTGGGCAAAGCGCGCCGTGCACCAGTGCCTGGTATGATATACGTGCTCAGGAAATAAAAGCCTTTATCATTAGTTCTGGGAGCGGGGCAAGCCACTGGAGGTTTTAGTTAGGGGAGGAGAGGATCAAAATCTAGTTTGCAGAGTGGCCCCTGGCTGTCAGCGAGCAGCGTGAACTGGATTCTCGGCTTGCTCGCTCGCCCACCTCTCCAGGGATCCTGTTTCTGTCTCCTGACACCTCTCTCCTTATGAGCTCTGTGTCACCACACATCTGAACAGCCCCCTCCAGGTCATGAGAGAGGACGTTACAGAGAACAGGACGGAGGAGGGCAGGCCCCCCACCTGAAGAGGAGCCGTGGGCACGGCTTTCTGGGTTCTGACCCCTTTCTGGGTTCTCCACCCCTTCCCAGCTGTGAGCCTCTGAGCCTCAGCAGTAAAGCTGGGCAAATGAAAGGTCCGCCTCATGGAGCACCAAGGACGGTGACTGCAGCCATGAAATTAAAAGATGCCTGCTCCTTGGAAGAAAAGCTATGACAAACCTAGACAGCATATTAAATAGCAAAGATATCACTTTGCCGACAATGGTCCGTCTAGTCAAGAATCACTAGAAATGATTTTTCTAGTATTTGTGTTATGGACGTGAGAGTTGGACCATAAAGAAGGCTGAGCACCAAAGAACCTGATGATGCTTTCCAACTGTGGTGCTGGAGAAGACTCTTGAGGGTCCCTTGGACTGCAAGGAGATCAAACCAGTCAATCCTAAAGGAAATAAATTCTGAATATTCACTGGAAGGACTGACGCTGAAGCTGAAACTCTGATACTTTGGCTGCCAGATGCAAAGAGCCAACTCACTGGAAAAGACCTTGATGCTCGGAAAGATTGAGGGCAGGATGAGAAGGAGGTGGCAGAGGATGAGATGGTTGGATGGCATTACTGACTCAATGGACATGGCGTTGAGTTCGAACAGACTCCACGAGACGGTGAAGCCTGGCGTGCTGCAGTCCATGGGGTCGCAGAGTTGGAAATGAATGACTGATTGAACAACAACTCATGGCAGGGTTGTTGAGGTGGATTCAGTGAATCAATTCATGGACTAGAGCTCAGCACCAAAACTAGCATGTGGTGAGTACTGGATAAATTTTCAGTATCATCGTACTCTAACTTCAAAAATCGGCACTTCCCTGGTGGTCCAGTGGTTAAGACTCCACACTTTCAATGCAGGGGGCATGGGTGGTTCGATCCCAGGTTGGGGAACTAAGATCCCACGTGCTGTGCAGTACAGCCAAATTAAAATAAATAAAACCTCCAAATTCAAAGAACCATTTTTTAACTGACCACTCCTCTCCTCCTTTTGGTTTCAGAGCAAAATGCCCCAAACCAGCTGCCTCCTGTTCTGCCCTGGCTTCTCTCTGGCATCCTCCAGTCACCTCTGTGAGGCTCAACCCCATGCTCGGTTCCCTGACTGCTCCCAGTCGTCACCCCTGGGCTCCCAGACCCCACATTCGTCTGGGCTCCTCCTTCACTGGCTCCTCCTCCTCGTATGAACACTGAGGGATCTCAGGCAGAGCCCTACACTCCCCTCCTCTCCAGTCTTTATGCTGACAATACTCCCATCTCTCTCTCCAGCCTGACCTCTCCTTGAGCTCCAGACTCCTTACCCGACTGCCTCCGCCACGTGTACTGCGCATCACAACAGTAATCCTTCTGTGGGCTTCCCTGGTGGTCCGGTGGCTAAGAATCCGCCTGCTAATGCAGGGGACACTGGTTCGATCCCTGGTCTGGGAAGATCCCAAGTGCCTCAGGGTTACTGAGCCTGTACTCTAGAGCCTGCAAGCTGCAACTACTGAAGCCCGTGTGCCACAGAGCCTGTGCTCCAACTATGGAGGCCACTGAAACGAGAAGCCTGTGCACCGCGAGAGTAGCGCCTGCTCACTGTGACTAGAGAAAGCCCTCGTGCAGCCACCAAGACCCAGTGCAGCAAAGAAATAAAAAAGGGTAAGCATCCAGGCCACAGCTCTGGGGCTCCCCACTTGGAGGGAACCATGGTTTACAGTTCACTCTACAGTTCCAACCCTGAGCCCGCTCCCCACTCAGTCCCTATCTCAGCTCAAGGAGAGTCTGCCCATCCTCCAGGCTGAAAGACCTGGCATCACCTTCCACCTTGCTCTTTCTCTTACACCAAATCCGATCTGCCAGTGGAATCTGCTGGCTCCCATTTCAGAGATCTGTCCTAAAGCTGCCTCCTTCTTCCCCCCAGACCTCGTGTGTCCTGCCTGGACCATCAGAGCAGGAGCCCCCTGGTCTCCTGGCCCCTTGCAGGCCATGCTCCACATGCAACCACAGGGGCTCCTCCGTAAACACCCAACTTAGGTCTGTCCCCCTGTTCCAGACCTTTCTGTGGCTCCCCCTGACTTATAGCAGACGCCCAGGCCCTTACCTGGGGCCCACAGAACCCTCCACGGTCTGTGCTCGTTGCCCCTCTGACCTCATGTGCTCACATGGTCCCAGCCACACTGGTCCTCCCCGCGCAGACCAAGCCTGCTCCTGCCTCAGGGTCTGTCAGCTGCTGTTCCCTCTGCCTGGAACGTTCTTCATCCAGACGTGTCACAATGCTAGCCACCATCTGACTCTGCACACTTTTCTTAGTCACCCTATTTGCTGTCCGTCTCCCCAGCCAGCATGGCCCCCTGGAGGGCAGGGACCCTGTCTGCCTGTGCGAGGTTGTCTTCCCAGTGTGTAGACTGGCATGGTGACTGACATATGAGGGAGCGAGGGGTCACCCTCCCCCCTGCCCTGAGAGGCCAAGCTTGGCTCTGGGGGTGCCTTACCAGGTGCCCAGGCACTTACTTCTTTGGGTCAGTGAAGGGGAGTGGCCGTGGCGGGGGCTCGTCTGTCCTCTTCCACCCTGTGGGGTGCTTGTTGCGCACGGGCTGCTTGGAGAAGAAGGACTTGGGGACAGAGGTGGAGAGCTGGAAGGCGCTGGGCTGGGCCAGCTGTGAGGGCCGCGGGCTCTCGGTGCTGGCTGTCTTGTGAACCTGAGCGGGGTAGCCGGCCCGTGAGCTCATGTCGCTGCAATGTAAAAATTAGAAAAGTAAAACAATTCTGTCCCACGTTTCAAAAAGTCAATCTGTTTAAGTTTACTCTTGGGAAACAAACAAACAAAAAGTTCATTGACACAGGAGAGACACTGCTGTGAAAAATTTTAATACATAGATGTCTATGTGGAGAAAGCGTAATGCTGCCTTCATAGCCCCCATCCCCTCCCAGGGATGTCCTCCTAGCACAGTTGGTACCTCTATGGGTATCTAAAAAAGTCACCCTCTGTGGGTAATGATTCTTCACCCTCCCGCGGAGATTCCTTGTATCCTGAGCACAACCTACACTACAACCTAGCTGAAGGTGGGGTTCTTGCCGACCCATCTCTGGAGGTAACCATGGTTTACAGTTCACTGTATTTCTTTCTTAACCCTTTCCTATGGTTAAAACACACATGTTGGGATTCCCTGGTGGTCCGTGGTTAGGACTCACTTTCACTGCTGGGGCCCTGGGTTTGGTCCTCAGCCAGGGAACTAAAATCCCACAAGCAGCACAGCATGGCTAAAATAAAAAAAGAAGAAAAAGAAAAACGGACAAAAAGAAAAATATGTATACAACTGGAAAACAGGAGCCTTTTTTTTTTTTGAAGGGTGTGAAAATTATGTTTCCATATAACTGAGACTGTGCTAATAAATTGTTCCGTAACTTATTTTTGTTAAACTTATGCCTTGCCACATAGTCTCTTCACTCAAATATTTTTTGAGCACTCTTACACATCAGACACCACTCCAGTTGATCTAATCTAAAACCACAGCTCGATATTCCAAATGCTGGATTCCTGTGGAGTTAATGCTACAATGAACCTCATGTGGTTAATTAGGACCCAATTCTTGGGGACCCAACTGCTGACCCCACTGAAGCAAATCAGCTTTTAAAATTTTAAAATAAAATTCTAATTTCACTTCAAGTAAGAGGTCTTTAATGGGAAAATTAATGTCCTTCGAGTGCAAGTTAATAAAAACTTATTGAAGGTCAATTTAGCAAAATTAAAGGGTGGGACTTCTGACTATGGCTGAATGAGAAGACTGGCAAATTCTCTCCCCACCAAGCACAAAATCAACAAAACACCGTTTCAGCACTCTGGAAATTGACCGAGGACATGCAACAATCCAAGTATTGTTTATTTTCTTGAAAAACTGAACTTCAGGGTAAGAACAGAGGGAATCTGACGTTTTAGCCTGGGGTTCCTCCCACCTCCCTGACCAGCTCAATGAACAAGCAAGTTCTGCCACTGGAGAACCTCACTGAAGGTTCAAGAAGGAGAAGTTAAAGGGGCAGAAGAAATGTTTGAAGGAATAATGGCTAAAAGCGTCTCAAACTGGATAAAAAAACATTCATCTATACATCTAAGAAACTCAACAAATTCCCACCAGGATAAGCACAAAGACTTCATCCAGAAAAACAAGTGAAAGTCAAACACTAAGATAAAACCTCCAAATGCACCAAGATAAAAAAGATTCATCATGTACAGAGGAAATCAGTACAATTAACTGCTGACCTGTCATTTGAACCAATGGAAGTGTGTGTTAGTTGCTCAGTCATGCCTGACTCTTTGCGACCCTATGGACTGCAGCCCACCAGACTCCTGTATTCATGAGATTTTTCCAGGCAAGGATACTGGAGTGGGTTGCCAAGAATGGGGTGGTATTTTCAAGGTGCTGAGAGAAAAAACTGTCAACCAAGACTTCTATGTCCAGCAAAACTACCCTTCATAGATGAAGGCAAGATAAAGATGTCCCCAGATAAACAGACTCAGAGAATTCATTGCTAGCACATCTGCCTAATAAGTAATAATTCCTCGGGATGAAAGGAAATGACTGCAGGTGATGACCTGAATTCACATGGAGAAGTGAAGGGTCCAAGATGGTAAGTTTGTGGGTTAGAATAAAAGACTTCATAGAATATTGTGGAGAAGGAAATGGCAACTCACTCCAGTATTCTTGCATGGAAAAATCCCAAGGACAGAGGAGCCTGGTGGGCTACAGACACGGGGTCACAAAGAGTTGGACAGCAGCATAGAATATTTAGGTTTTCTTATTTCTTCTCTAACTTCTAAAGTTACATGTAAAACTGTATAAGGCAACAATAACACTATATTTGGTTTATAACATATACAGATGTAGAATGTATGACAGTAATAGCACAAAGGAGAGGGAAAGGAATGGGGCTTTGTTGGAGAAAAGTTTTTATATTTTGTTGGTATTCAGTTACCACTAATCTGAAATACATTGATAAGATGCATACTATAATTAAAGTTAAGAGGAATCCAAATGGTGTACTAAAACTAATTTAACACAAAAGGCAAAAGTAAAGGAAGGACAAAGGAGAAAGATAGTAAACATAGAAAACAAAGCACAAAATGGCAAATGCAAATCTAATTATCATCAGTAACTTCGTTAAATGTGAATACTGAAACATCCCAATCCTAAAGCAGACTGTCAGAATGGATTTTAAAATGCAAGCTCTGACTGGCTTACATAGACTTTCTATACAACATCTGTCAACAGGTCCAAGGCTGCGCACCGGGGAGGCGTTGTCCAGGGAGTCACGGGGCATGTAACATCAGGATCGGACTTTATCCGGGGAGGCCACAAGGGCTTCCCCAAGGAGGAGACAGTGTCTGAGCGGAACTGAAAGATGTGAGTAGTGTCAGTCTAGCATCTGACCTCCCAGAAATCCACGCCACAGAAAAGCCTGCACAAGGACATGCCAGCACATACAAGGATGGTCATTGCAATGCTGTGTGTAAACAACAAAAAGCTGGACATGGCCTGAATTCTTAGATCAGTCCAAGCATATCCATATGATCAAAAACTATGCAGCTAGTGTGAAGAATGAGGTCAACTTCTGTTTATGGATGAAGACAGATGCCTGAGCTACAGGAAGTGGAAATGAGGCATCATGCAAAGCATGCTTTTTCTTTTTTTAAATGTACATATGTTGTTGAATGTTTATTGGGCTTTTTTTTTGGGGGGGGGTCTTTTTTTTATGAAAAGGAAATGTATAGTTTTTTCCCAACTGTGGGCCATGAAATCACTTTACTAGATCTTGACTGTTATTTGGGGTAGGAGGTGGGGAGAAAGAGACTAGAATAAAAAACCTCAGCGTACCTCATGTGAGGTAAGGGTAAGTGGTTTTGTGAAGCTTCACTGAGGATGTCCACACTGTTCTGTAATGTAAAATGCTTTTCCTGTTTTGGGTAACTGTCAAAATATGTTTGATAGACCTGGGCTGGTACAGATTTGGAGAGAAATCTTCGGAAGAGTGCACACTAACTGTTTATCTCTGGAAGCAGTAATGATGGGGGAGATGAAACCACATACACAGCACAGGGTAGAAATGAAAGTGCCATCTGACAGCTCAGTATCCTTTGAGGCAACCTTGACTTTTCCCCTTTTTTCTTCTTCAACAGAGAGCCCAGTGTGTGTGTAGCTTCCCAATTTTCCTTTTTAACATAAATGGCAGCCTATCATGAGTTTGCTCTGCACCTGGCTTTGACCTTAACACGATGCCCTGGAGCTCTCTCCGTGTCAGTCCACACAAAACCCTCTCCCTTCAATGGCTGCAGGTGGCCCACTCTATGAATATATCCTAACTGGTTTTAACCCTAGCTTTTATATTTCTACAGCACATATTTCTCTACCCTGTCATCAGGCATGTTCAGCTTTTATGAGCTGGAAAAAAAAGAAAACAAAAACAAACAAACAAGAGATGATAAAGAAAAAAAAAGGAAGAGTGGGTCCAGTGGTTAAGAATCTGCCCCCCAGTGCAGGGGATGCAGGTTCAATCCCCAGTTGGGGAGCTAAGATCTCACATGCGACAGGGCAACTAAGCCCATGCTCTGCGAGAAGCCCACACACTGCAACTAGAGAGCCCCTGCCCCATGCCACAACTAGAGAAAGCCTGTGTGCTGCAACAAAGACCCTGCATGGCCAAAATAAATAATAAGACGAAGAGAAAAAGACCACCACCCCTTTCTCTGTGTCTGCCAGCTGGCTCCATCCATTGCCCCATTTGGGATGGGTTTGCTCCCTCAGCCTGTGGCAGGCACTGGGTGTCATCCTACTCCCCATCACCTTGTAAATGAAGGCTGGTTCTACTCATCCTCAAGGAAGGTGACCCGGCACCCAGCCCAGGGCACAATCCTGAATGGTGGATGCCACCTGTCTGGGATGGGTCAGCGGTAGGTCTGTGATCTACTTGTGGACAGTGAAGCATCAGGTGCTTGTGTGGACTGTCTGCTAGGTGACTTCTGAGGAAGGTTTCTTTACTAGAAAACTAATCAACAAAGACCACTTGTAGTAAATGTCACCTGTTCTTCCATTTGACACGGTGACTATCTCGACAGTCACTTTGAGACTGTGAGGGGAGCCAGTCTGCAGGCCAATGGAGACAGAACAAAGAAAGGGAAAGAACCTGAGTCCTTGAGTCAGTAAATTCCCCATTTGTGGGGCCCTCCCTAGTGTGGGACTTCATGTTCTCAGAGGTAACAGACTTCCTCCAATTGAGCTGGGACTTGCTGCTTGGAGCCAAAGGCATTTCCACGACTGTCCCTGCTTTCAACCTCTACCAGCCTCAGGCATGAACGGGTGCCCCCCACACACAGCAAGGCTACAAAGAACTATTCTGAATATGCCGTGCATCTCGACCTGGACCACTCAGATGGGCGCCCCTTCTCACACTCCCCTTGGACTATGAGCTGCACCAGGTGCCAAATACAGGGTGGAGTTCTTACCCCACCTGCCAATCAACAGAGTGAATACACCTTTTCTCTGAAGCAAGGTCAGGTGCCCTCCCCGAGCCTCAGCTTGAAAAACGAGGCAGCACCTCTCCGCAGATGAGAACATGGACCACGCTGATTACTTGACCTGGGGTCCAATCCCAGACTGACATGCAGTGATCTTTGCTGGAGCCCCTCCCCCTCGACGAGCCTCAGTTTCCTCCTCTGAGAATCGAGGCAACGACACACTTGC